CTCCCCGGACCCCCTCGCGTCGTGAGAAACATCACGGCGGGAGGCTGTTCGCTATTTTTTCGGCCTCCAGGGGCCCTTCCCGGGGCCTCGGGACCGTCGAAAAACGACTCAGGACGAAAAGCTGGTCCTGGGGAAAGGGTCCCGGCCTCCGGAGGTCGACGCTGTGACAAAATCACGACGCCGGGGGTCTGGGCCTCGGCGGTGCGCAGGAGGCGCCGGGGCCCTCCGAGGGGCGGGGCCCTCGGGGCGCGTGGCCGCAGAGAGAGGTGAGGGGCTCGGCTCCGGGCCCTTCGCTCAGCCGATCGGGCCCCAGGCCCGCGGGACCTCAGCTCTGCACCCCCGCCGGCTGCACGTGAGAGCGGCAGCCGGGCAAGGGTGGCCTTTGGTGCGCGGCGTCAGGGGGGGCGCGGGGGGGCCGAACCGAGGCGCGCAGGCCGCTGCGATCGCCGCGCCTTCGGCGATCGGGGGGGGGCCAGTGGGCCCGCGCCAGAGGTCACTCCGGCGAAGGGTCACTCTTCCCTGAGGTCTCATAACGTCCAAATTGGACGCCAGAACGCTGGCGTCCAAATTTGGACGCCAACGTCCAAATTTGGACGCCATGACATGCGCATTGCATATGATAGTATGTAGTAGCTTATGGTTATGTGTTGCTACGTGCTCCGTTCAATGCTTGTGTTGTTATGTTATGTTAGCGCCATGCGGTTCGTGTGCCTGTACGTGTTTTGAATGAGGACCACAGCAAACGTCCAGTGCGTATAAAGCTAACGCATCGAATATAAATCAGATTTGCAGCGTGCGGGATGGACTGGGATGGTGAGAACTGTATCCTTACAACCACGAAACAACATAAATGACGAGAGGCCCGACGAGAGAACACCGAATATCAAATGCCATCATGGGCAGAATCAGGGGTTCCTAGTGAGCGCGTGAAGAACACAAAAACAGAGGAGGAAGATGAGGAGGAGGAGGAGGAGGAGGCGGAGGGGGGGGAGGGCGAGGAGTGGACGGAGGAGGAGAAGAGAGAGACAAGGAAACAGAGATATAAAGAGAGGGATACAGAGAGAGAGAGAGAGAGAGAGAGAGAGAGAGAGAGAGAGACAGAGAGAGTGCAGGAGAAAAGGATGAGCTTGACCATGCGCGGAGATCTCTCCTCGAGGAGGGGGGGGACTACGAGGCCACATCCTGCGAATTCTTGACGCTTCGCGTATCTCCACCAGCCCATCCAGAAAGATCGGCAGGGGGGCTGGTGAATCAGGGACGGCAGGATGCATGCAGTCGTGCAGCCGTCTTCGAGAAAACAAGGATCCCACATAGCTTCCAGCGTTGAAGTTTAAGATGGAAATCCGTGCAAGCTACGATGGTGCTTCGATGAGGGGTGAGGGGTGCTTCGATGACTCAATGGCTGTTGCACTGATTTGTATGTTAAATTCGCGTGCGTTCCGTAACTTGGAGGCATCTTGGGGCTCAACTTGGGATTATCGTGGGCCCCTCCTGGGGCCTCCTGGGGCTCTGCCTTTGGGCTCTCCTGAGATCCTGTTAGGGCCTTCTTGGGGCATATGTGTGCTCTGTTTGGGCGTCTTGGGGCTCTTTGGTGGGGCCTGGGGGCCTTCTTGGGGCTCGGTTGGGATGCCCGAGGGGCCTCTTGGGCCGTCTTGGTAAACCTCCCAAGCAGGGAAAGGAAGGCGGTCGGAAAAGGACACGCCCTAGACCACCCGCGCCCAGAGGGCTGGTGGGATTTCTCTGGCGTCATCAAGCCGTTGTCTTCCATCCTCAGCTGCTTTCTCTTCACCCTCTTCTCTGAAGCTTGTTTGGCTCATGCTCGTCGAGTGGCTTGGGAAAGTGCCCAAGGAGAGCTGTCTCACTCCTCTCGGGCGCGCGTTCGCGAACGCCCAGGCCATGTCGCAGACGGCACGGCCCCTCGAGAGCACAGTTCGTGACTCAGCGACGCCGCCTCCCGACAACCAGGCGGGCATGGACTCCTGGGAGCGACAGCATCCAGAGCTGGCCGTGTCATCGGCGGCGGGTGGTGAGCCCAAGTCACCAGAGTCCCCAGAGGTCGAGATCACAGCTGTGACGCTGGCCCCTGGCAACGCTGCTGGGAACGACGGCCGCATGCAGGAGGAGTGTGATGATGTCGTCATGAGTGATGCGGCAGTCGAGGCCATGAGGGATGACGCAGCCGAGGCAGCCGAGGACGACGTGGCGAAGGATGGCCCAGCGTGTCAGCAGTCGCAGCCGTCCACTCCACAAGCTGTGGGCGCTACTGATGACGCTGTGCACGGTGCTGGTCGTGAGGTGCGTCATGATGAGAGCCGATGGGACGAGTGCGAGCGCCCGCCAACCACACCACCAGTTAAGAATTCATTGAAGGCGCAGCTCGAGCAGTCCGAGTCGGCGCTGAAGGAAGTGGCCGAGAATGCTGGCATGGACTGGACTGTTGTGAACAAGCACCTGGCGACCTTCCACAACTCTGGCGTGATGAAGATGGCCGCCGCCATGA